TGTGCTCCCACCCCTTTGAGTAGGACGGTGACATTGAGCGGGTACTGAGGTTAATTGGCTAATAGACTTTAAGGAATAAGCAAGGACAGAGAAGATTGCTGCTCAGTCACCATCTCAGTAAGCCACATGCGCCATGAGGCAGTAGTCTGTCGTGTCAGATCCCCAGCTCAGGATGTGGGGTGACTTGGTTTAGAGCTGTCTCCAAAAGTTCCCTAGATGGGTTGCATCAGTCAACTGCCTGTCCTAAGAGACAATGTCAAGACAATTGTCATGTGAAGAGAAAAGTTTTACTTTTTGCTGGTGTTTCTAACAGTTCCGGCCTGAGCCCAGGTGACTCTGTGGATTAGGGCCTCCAGGGAGTGCAGGCATCTGTCAGTGGAAGTGCAAGGCAGAGCGTATGTGTGTGTGTGTGTGTGTGTGTGTGTGTGTGTGTGTGTGTGACATCAGAAGCCAGAAGGCACAGCAAGAGGAGAAGGAAGAAGGAACCAGTGTGGGGAAGCCCCATTTAAGGGCCCTCCTCCTTGACCTAAATACCTCAGACAAGGACAACTTCCTCTGAGCCCCACCACCTCCCCGTGGCACAACCCTGGGAAGCAAGTCCCTTAACTAACACAGTGACCAGTGGAGAATACGATTCTTACTCAAGCCATAGCACGGGCAGATGGTGGAACTTGCAGGCAGTAAGGGGAATGTTGGGCTCTCCCACCCTTCGTCTCACGGGTGAGCAGGAAGCCCACAGAAGACCAGGCTCTGAGCATGGAGCTTTTGTACATGTTCCAGCGGGCATTCGTCATGCTCCCTGCAGCTTCAGCAGAGATGGGGAAGCACATGAACCTGGCAGAGGGGTTCCCTGATGGCTGGATCAGCAGCAGGGGTACCAGTTCCTGCCCGCACCAAGCAAGTACTTAGGCAAGGTCAGGTTCACTTCTCAAGAGAAGCACAGCTTACTTTCAGTTTTTTGTTTTGTTTTAAGACTGGGTGTAGTGGAATGCACCTAAAACTTCCAGCTACTCAGAGCCTGAGGTAGGAGGATTGTAAGTTCAAGGCCATTCCGGGCAATACAGCGGGGTCCCATCTCAAAAATAAATAAAAACGGGCTGGAGACATGGCTCAGAGGTTAAGAGCACTGACTGCTCTTCCAGAGGACCCGGGTTCAATTCCCAGCACCCACATGGCAGCTCACAGCTGTCTACAATTTCAGGGTCTAACACCCTCACACAAAATATATATGCAGGAAAAACACTGATATGAATAATAAATAATTAAAAATAAATAAATAAAACCAAGCTAAACTAGTAGAAATCAACTAAAATGCGAATTATCTGTCAATATATGTAAAATTTAAGTTACTTTTGTGAACTTATCTCTAGTTAGAGTTTTGTTTAATTAAGTTTATTTATTACTTATTGTGTGTGTGACCAGGGTACGAGTGTGTAGGTTAGTGAGCAACCTGAGAGAATCCATTCTCTCCTTCCACTATGTGGGCTAAGAGATCAAACTCAGAAATCAAATCAGGCTTGGTGACAAGCAACTTAACCCACTGAGTCACCTCCTGGGCCCCTCCAGCTATGTTTGAAAGACGCTTGCATTTAAATCAATGAGGAATGTTGTGAGGAAGGAAAGGGCTTGGGGTTCAGTTATCCTTGGGATTAAGAACTTTTTTGTTGTGATTGTTTTTTAGTTTTTCAAGACAGGGTTTTTCTGTGTAACAGTCCTAGCTGTCCTGGAACTAGCTCTTGTAGACCAGGCTGGCCTCGAACTCACAGAGATCTGCTTACCTCTGCCTCCCGAGTGCTGGGATTAAAGGTGTGCACCACCATCGTCTGGCTTTAAGAACATTTTTTTTGTCTGTTTTTTGAAACAAGGTTTCATTTATACTCCAGGCAGGTGTCAAATTTATATGTGACCCAGGCTGGTCTCACACTCCCTAGCCTCCTGCCTTAATCTCTGAAGTGCTCTGATTGCAGATGTGAGCCATCACATCTGGGTTACTGCTGACATCTGACAAGGGATAAAGAGGAGAGGGTTTCATTGCAGATAAGCAAACCTTAAAGCACCTGGTCCTTCCCCATCACCACAGCGTCACCTGGACACCCCCTTTCTTCGTAATTACCAGGAAACACATGCGGTTGATCAATGAAGGCCGTCACTGTAGAGTAGTACCTTTTAAATAAAGAAATAGTAAAGAGTTACATCAAAATCTGTTCTGGGGGTCTCTTCTGAATCTGGGGGTGTAGATACTTCTGGGGTGCTGTTGGTTCTCACCACCTGGACATGTTTGGTCATCTTGCACCTCCAGCTCTCTGACTAACAGCTGGGGTCCTGCAACAATGGCTAATTAGTTGTTTGGTCAGAGATTTTTGAATGTATCATTGATGATACAGAGAGAAGAAACTGATGAAGCAGGGTGGTGGTCAGGAAGGAAAGCATTCACTTCCATAGGGGGTTCCCAGTCCAGTAGTGCAGCGGTGGGGTGAAGCCTCATTCTTCTGGAACTGAGGACAAGGCCACTGATCTCGGTGTCCTCTGAAGCTTAAGGGAGCAGGGTCCCAGTTGAGGTGAAGTCCCTGTGACATTTTATAAGGAGTGGTTAGTTCGTTCTGTCTTTTCTGAGGACTGTCTCCATCTCTGACTCCCACGTTGCAGCAAACCTAGACAGGACATTTAGAGAGGGAGAGCAGACCGACACAAGCAGGTTTTGGAGCAATAGAAAAGAAAGTAGAGGCCGGGAGGTGGTGGCGCACGCCTTTAATCCCAGCACTCAGGACGCAGAGGCAGGCAGATCTCTGTGAGTTAGAGGCCAGCCTGGTCTACAAGAGCTAGTTCTAGGACAGGCTCCAAAGCTACAGAGAAACCCTATCTCAAAAAAAAAAAAAAATAGTAGAGAATTCTTTCTGGGTTACCCGACTGTCTGGTTCAAGGAATACTGAGGTTCAGACTTGACTGGAAAGGAGTGACGGTCAGTGGGTCTCCAAAGGACACCCCAATGGGAGCAAGGAGGTGTATGACACAGCTCCCAAGGATGAGGCAGAGTAGGATTGAGTGGGCTCAACCAGTGAGGTAGAGAAAGAAGATCCAAAGACCTGAATATGCTGGTGTCCCAGGGATCCAGGGAGGATCAGATTGAGTGGGCACAAGCTGTTCAGTATGTCGTCATGCAAGAACAGGGACCAAGGGCTCTGAGCCAGAGAGAGACACAGTCACCTGGTACCACCAGGACTTCGAGAAAAGCCGGAAGGCAAAGAGAGGACTGTGCTCGAGAAAGGAAGCCTCACATCCAGGGGAATGGTCAGAGGTAGATAACCCTGCCAGAGCCCCAATTGTTGGTACCGAAAGGAAGGCAAAGCCATCAGCAAAAAAGAAAGCAGCCATTTGGATTAATATCTAAGGGGTGTTGAGACTAGGTCTGACTCCAAAGGTGGATGCAGTTCCCATGAGTGAGGCAGAGAAATAAGATCCAAGGGTTTGCAATTGCTAGCATCCCAGGAATTCAGAGAGAATTGGATTAGTAGGCACAGGCTGTCTTGTGCGTTGTCATGCAAAGAATAGGGATCAAGGGCTCTGAGCCCTAGAGAGCTGAGCTGTGGTGGTTGCCTGGTACCAGGACTTGGTGAGGCCGAAAGGTGAGAAACCACGCTGGAGAGACAAGTTCTCACACACAGGAGATGACCAGAGGTGGAGAAGGGGGGCTCACCAATTGTGCCAGTTGCTTTTGCTGTTTTGTGACTGTGAACAGCTGTTCTTGGACATGTCTGCTGGTGTGTGTATAGAAGAGTTTCTTTTGGATAGATAAGTGCAATCCTTGGGTCAGAAAATATGTATCTGTTCATTTTTTGCACATGGTGCTGCATTGTATATCAAAGGGTCTGTCTTTACACTCTCGCATTGAAACTATTTCTGTCGCTTTGTGTCCTCGCCCACTCCCACCTCGGCATATAACTAAGGTCTCTCTTATCCCCGACATGTTTACACTTGCTCCTGTCTGAGGATGTTTTCTGGAAGCAGCACAGACCCTGTGTTTCTGGGGTTGACAGAGGTGACCGGGTTCTAGGGGTGTCAGTGGGCAAGATGGAACAAAGGACCTGAAGTCAGGAGACTTGAGGGGCTCTTGGAACATTAGAGAATCGGAGGGTGTTGTTTCTCCTCCATGGGTCCCTCCGAGCGCCTGTGACTTCAGCATCTTCTGCTGCTCGGTACTCAGAGCCCTTCCACAGACACCAGCCTTTTCCCCACCCAACCTCACACTGGATATTGCAGAAGGACAGAAACACAGCTGACCTCTTTCCCCCTCTTGAATCCCCAACTCCACTCTCAGCTTATACTCCTCCTCTCTGCGTTAAAAGGGCAGGCTGAGGGTTTGGAAAGGGAGGTGCTGGCATGGGCTGGGGGTAGGGAACCCGGGGCTCTGAGAAAGCCAGACACAGCAGAACTATTCTGTTCCAGAGCTGCAGGGTCCACAGATTCCTGTCCCAACCAGCCAATGGGAGAAGGCCCTCTAATCCTAGGGAACTAAAGAATTCTCTTCAGTTATTCAATTTCCCTGCTGTACCCCACTCCTTACCCCTACCCCCACCCTTAACCCTGACAAAGTCAGAGGAGCCTGAGACCCCCCAGGAGCGAGCCAGCTCATATCCCATGAAGTGAGCTCAACCTGACTACCTTCCAAGAAATTTGAGGAATGTTCTAAACCAGATGTCAATCAGGACTGTGAACCCCAACTTTCACACAGACAGACGGTTCCAGTTCTCCATCCGAGAACCCCATACTCCTGACTCCCTGGCTCATGCTCCAGATGAGGACAGAAAGGCAAATCCAGCTGCTCCATCAGATGTTTGGGAGTGGATTCAGACATCCACAGCCAGGAAGGGGTTAAGAGGCAGAGCCAGTTACCCCAACCTGTCCCTCCCAGGGATTAAGAGTCCTCTATAAAGGGGACTATCTACCCAGGCAAGTCCAGGGGGTTATTAGGGACCCAGGCACTGTGCCCACCCCCCATTGCCATGTGGGAACTTCGGTCTGCCTCCTTTTGGAGGGCTATATTTGCTGAGTTCTTTGCCACCCTCTTCTATGTCTTCTTTGGGCTGGGAGCCTCCCTGCGTTGGGCCCCTGGACCCATACATGTCCTGCAAGTGGCTTTGGCCTTTGGCCTGGCCCTGGCTACATTGGTGCAGACTGTGGGTCACATCAGCGGAGCCCATGTCAATCCTGCGGTCACGTTTGCCTTCCTTGTGGGCTCCCAGATGTCCTTGCTCCGTGCCTTCGGCTATGTGGCAGCTCAGCTTCTGGGAGCTGTGGCTGGAGCAGCTGTGCTGTACAGCGTCACCCCGCCAGCTGTCCGAGGAAACCTAGCACTCAACACGGTAAGGGGTGGCTAAGGGGTGGGGGTGGGGTGGGATCACGGTGTCTGGATTATTGCCCTTACATGTTTGCTTATGTGTGTACATAGACCTGTGTGTGTGTGTGTGTGTGTGTGTGTGTATAGGAGCAATGAGTGCTTAGGAGAGGAAAGGAAAGTATAGAGGCCAAGAAAGTTGAGTTCAAACTGGGCAGTGGTGGCAGATGCCCTTAATCCCAGCACTTGGGGAGGCAGCACTTGGATCTCTGTGAGTTCGAGGCCAGCCTGGTTTACAGAAAGAGTTCCAGAACAGGCTCCAAAGCTGCAGAAAAACCCTGTCTCGAACCTCTGCCACCCCCCCCCAAAAAAAGCTGAGTTCATATTTTAGCTTTCATTCCAACTTATTAGGTTCTTTTGTTGTTGCTGTGAGTGGGGGGAGAGCTAGTCCTGGCCTTCCTCTATAGCCAAAGATAGTCCTCCTGCCTCTACCCTCCAAAGTGCTAAGATTACAGGCACGCCCAAACACATCCGTTTTATGTGGTACTGGGAACGGAACCCAGGGCCTCAAGCCTGCTGGGCAAGTCATGCCAAGTGAGCTGCATCCCCAGCTCTCCATCCAGGTTCTGAAAGAGACTTAGACTGCCTCCGTGTCCCTGCCATGTAAGTCAGTCATTTCCACACAGCAACAAAGCAGCACTGTTAGGAAAACCTAAGGTAGAAACACATAGCCTTCCTGTCCCGGGAGCTGAGCTGTAGGCGGGGACTGTGAGGTGCCCATAGCAGGGCAGGGCTAACAGTTGCCTCCTTTCTCCCCTTGGTCAGCTGCACCCTGGGGTAAGTGTGGGCCAGGCCACCACCGTGGAGATCTTCCTGACGCTCCAGTTCGTGCTCTGCATCTTTGCTACATATGACGAGAGGCGGAATGGCCGCATGGGCTCTGTGGCCTTGGCTGTTGGCTTCTCCCTCACCCTGGGGCACCTCTTTGGGGTAAGCAAGAGAGGTAGAAAACATCTTACTCAAGATTCTAGGATCCCCAAAGCGTTAGCAACCCGTAAGGGTTCTCTCTTCCCCACTCTGCCTTTAATCACGAGTATTCTCCACCTTTTCATTATCAGTTGGCACAAGGGATCGATTTCCTTTAACTACTACGTCGAATCTTTCTTGACTCCAGGGTGGAAATGCACACATCATGGGTAGAACCGGGCTGTTCTGATACATAAGTCTGTCCCCAGATGGAATTCCAGTGCCACTTCTATGTGGAGAGTTACATGTGGGCTGTAGGGAGAGAAACAGAGGCTGGGATGCTGTCTTAGCTCCAGCTGTGTCTCTTGCAGATGTATTACACTGGCGCAGGGATGAATCCTGCCCGCTCCTTTGCTCCTGCCATCCTCACCCGGAACTTCAGCAACCACTGGGTAAGTAAGAGTACAGGGTAAGAGCATGGAGCACTTTTGGCGGGCCCGACTGTAGGCTGCTCTGCCAGCACGCAGCTAAGCAGGCTGTCAGGGACCTTGGCACGCTTGCATGTGCGCGTGGCATTATTGTGTCAAAAAGAAACACTCTAAGCTGGGTGTGGTGATGCATGCCTGTAGTTCCAGCGCTTGGGAGGCTGAAGCAGGAGTACTTGAGCCCAGGAAGTGGGGGCTAGCATGGACGGCACAGCGAGACCTCCTTTCTGAAACAGACAGACAGGAGGCTCTCGCCGTTGGCGGGACTTTTTAACTGGGTATCTGCTGGACTCAAGAACTAAAGGCTATTGGATTGCCAGCTACATCTAAGACAAAAACTCCGGATTCCAGAAACCAGAATGTACGCCCGCAGGCCCAATAGCACCTCAGTTCGACTGCACTGGTCTCGTACGTGATTCTGACAAATAACTCATTCTTTGCCTCTGTTTATCAGCCACAGAGAATTATATAAAACAAATGAAGTGACAGTTATCTGTGAAGCAGCTAGCACAGATTCTGGCATGGAGTAATCTTCAATAAATAGTGTAATGCTTTTGTTGCTTTGGGCATATGCAAGATAAACATGGAAACAGCTCAAAAGAATCTGCCGAGACATACAGCCGTTTCCACAGTGGCATTGGTTACAACAGCCAAGGGTGGAAGCAGCCCTAATCCCCCTTGCTAGAGAAGTAGAAAAGTCAAACACGGCCTGTGGAAGTTCTGATAAACTATAAGATAAACATCAGGGACATTATGCTTAGTGAAATAGCCTGTCGCTAAAAGATAATTCTTTTTTTTTTTTTTTTCGAGACAGGGTTTCTCTGTGGTTTTGGAGCCTGTCCTGGAACTAGCTCTTGTAGACCAGGCTGGTCTCGAACTCACAGAGATCCGCCTGCCTCTGCCTCCCGAGTGCTGGGATTAAAGGCGTGCGCCACCACCGCCGGCTAAAAGATAATTCTTATATAATTCTACTTACCCCAGGCAGAATACCCACATTCATTCCATAAGCCAACGTGGAGGCGCAAAGCTGCATTTCCAGCACGCGGGAGGTGGATGCAAGAGGGTCATCCTAGGCAACACAGCAGTTCAGGGCCAGCCTGTGCTACAGGACACCCAAAGGAGGAGAAGGGGTGGAGGAAGGGAGCAAGGGAGAAAGAGAAAAGAAAGGAAGAAAAAAAAAAAGAAACAGAAATTGCTAGAAATGGGGATAGAAGGGTGGCTGTCAAGAGCTGGGGTGGAGTCAGGCAGTTTAATGGCTATACAGTTTTATTTTTACAAACTCAAAAACTCCTGGAAGCGAGAAACACAACAATGTGAATATATTTAACACCATGGAGCCACACACTTAAAAATGTAAATAAGCAGGAATTAGCTTGTGCTGATCAGAGCACTTAGTAGGACAACTCAGGAGAACTGCTCGAGTTTTAGATGGGGCTGGGTTACACATGGATGTTGACGCCAGTTTGGGTTACAGAGTGAGACCCCGACTCAAAAACAAGCAGTTCTGCAGAGCCTGGTGTGCACCCCAACATCCCAGCACTAGGGAGGCATAGGCAAGCGGATCTCTGTGAGTTCAAGGTCAGCCTGGTCTACAGAGTGAGTTCCAGGACAGGCTCCAAAGCCACAGAGAAACCCTGTCTCAAAACAAACAAACAAACAAACCTCAAAACCAACCACCCAACCAAACAGAAAACAGTTCTGGGGATATAGTGCAGTTGTTACGCATTATCTGCCTGGCAAGTACAAAGCTGAGTTCACTCCCCATCACTGAATAAACTTGGACAGTGGTGCCTGCTGGTCATTCTAGGGGGACCAGAGGATTAGGAGTTCATGGTTCACGGTCATTTTCAGCTCCACAGGCCAGTTTTGAGGTCACCTTGAGGTCAATGAGATCCTGTATTAGGCAAACAACAAAAGCAAAAACAAAAAAAAAAGTACCAATAAACAGACAATATTTGATAAGGTAAATTTTATATCATAAAGGGCATTTTACCACATTTACAATTTTTTTCTAAGAAATATATAAACTAGTTCAAAATAACAACAAATAGAATAATGTGTGATAAGGAGGTATAGGTAAAACAGAGGAATAAGAAAATGGCCGGGGGGGGGGGGGGGGG